TTTTTGTAGGAATGTCATCCAATTTCTGTGTTTCAGATGCTTCGATTTGTAAAACATCTGCACTGGTGAGCAGCGGAACTTCCTCGCTATATTTATCGCCATTTGGTAAAGTGAGGCTATTTTTTGACATTTTCACAGTAATGTTCTGTTTTTTGAAAGAATCTGATTTGTCAAAAAGTTTATTTCTGGCAGAAACGATGGACAGAGGTTGTTGAGGGGTAATGTAAAACGGTAAGGTAACCCTCGCTATTTTTTTTAGTTTCTGGGCGCTGAGAATTTCATCTTTTTTCTTACCGTCAACCAACTTGGCCGTAATAGACACTGGCCGATCAGAGTGTTGGGGACTCCATTTCTGTGAATTCTAACGAATTTGACGTCTACCCCTAGTGTTTGCTTAAAAATTTCTGGCATGGTAGAAGCAAGATCTTCATTATGGGAATATGGATAGTTATGTATTAAAATATTGTCACGCATAGACCTAGCTCGCAAATCAGTGATTTCATTGTCCATCACAGACATTTTTCTGTCAATCCTGATAACCACTGATCGCAGCAGCTCTACCTCTCAGCGCAAGTAGGCGTTTTCTGACCTAAGTGTAGATATTTCGTCATAATTGCATTCTGCTTGTTCACAAACATACTTTAGTTGTGCATTTAGGCTGTGTTCATCGGCGTCATGGTCGTAAGTTTTGTTCTTATTCGCAGACCGTAACCTCGCTTCACTGCCCTTTTCACTATCTAACGGGACCGACTCTGGAAGGTTTTCGCTTTGTAGTGAATTCGTTTTGATAGCCTTGCCTGTCCCCTCAGGTGAACTCTTATCAGCCGATTTCTTTGTACTATTTGATCTTCCTCTCCTTTGCATTTTCGGGGTATATAATTCACAGATTATAGTATAAAATGTATCCCAGGCACCCACGAACGTATGTTGTCCAAAATTCAAGTGAACGGAATAAAAATCCCAACAAATAAGCACCAAAAAACAGACCAAACACCGGACAGAATTTTAAGCGTCCATCTCCGGCGGGTGTCACGTGATCTCATTGTTTACATCAATTTTCATAGATTTTTTAAAAAGGACGTTTTCGAGGATATCTAATTTCGAGGACAAAAGCATTGGCTATGCAAATGAATAGCATATTTCTTAATTCTATGAACATTTAAATTCGTGGATCCGCTCAACAACAAAATCCTGGAAAAAAGGTGCTCAACGAATATTAATGAAACCACAGTAATTGTGTGTGTGTGTGTGAGGGTGTGTGTGTGTGTGTTCAGTTTGTTATATTTGAGCTTTTATATATTTTAGAGGCATTCACTAATGTCATTACTGATGACAAACAGGAGAAACGGAGACAGGAGAATGGAAAGACTGATCTTCACAGACAGCAGTCAAAACAAAGCAAAAGAAAGCATTTAGTAAGTTTAATTTACTAAAAACTATATGAAAAAGTTATCTTTTGGGATTTATTTTTAAACTAATCGGCCTACATTTCAAAGATATTTGTTAAATAATAGTCTTCTTTCATCATGTATAGCAGGGTTGTAGAGGAATGCAATATTCTTTGAAATTTATGATATTTTGTGTCAATGGATATTTCTACAATACTAAGGTCATATAATTCATTATCATTGATACTTGTACATATATGTTTTTGAAAAGTCTGTATGATTAACTATGCGCTTTTTCCCTCAGAAACTTGAAAGAAGAAAAAAGGCTGTGGAACATCTTAAGTTGTCTAGACGAGTCATGGACCCCAACGTCTCAAAAGAACTTGACGGGGTGCCTTCAGTTGGACATAACTTCACCCGAGAAGACTGATGACGAAAAACTCAACAAAGAGGGTCAGGCTCCCATTTTCCTGGAAATCAACCAGACTATGCAAGGGAAAAGAGACACTGGACAAGGCATAAAGACACAAGGTCCTGAAGACCGAATCTGCAGATGCCAGTTGGTTTTTGTAAGGGATGGTAGAGAGGACACAACAACATCTCCTCCTGAGAAGTGTCCAGCTTGGGCCATTTCCAGAGACTACTCCTCTTAGAGGTAAATAATTTTCTCAGATACTTATGAGCTCTTCTGAGCCAAAGGCTCAAAGAGCTAATGCTATGGCCATTTTTGCGGTGTGCGTCGTGCGGTGTGCGTTAACTTTTTAGAATATGGGCCATAACTCAAGAACCCTTTGGCCAATCATTTTTAAATTTATCACAGGGTATTCTTGGCCCAAGGTCTACCATATAAATTAAAACTAAGGGTAGGGCCTTAAAACAAGGGGAGATAATCACGAAAATAAAATCAAAAGTACTGGTTGCTAAAAAATCTTCTTCTCAAGAACCACCTGGCAGATTTTCACCAAACTTATATACAAGGGTCGGGATATTTTGAAGATTAAAAATTGTTCAATGCATGACCCTGGGGCAAAGGGCGTGGTCTCAAGGTCACTTCTAAGTTGACCAAAATTTACAGTTTATAAAAATGTTGAAATTTTGCTTACTATTAAGACTAAGATCATCAAATCTTGTAAGTTGATGCATCTCAGGACTTCACATCATGTTAATACAAAAGTAGGTCACGGTGACCTACTTTATATATTTTACTGGCTTTTGTTTTGAAATTAATTTGTAGGCATATTTTGGACACTTTAAGGCCTATGATCATAAATCTTGGTCAGATGGTGCATCTTGGGTCCTCAAACAACATCAACTTAAAAGTAGGTCATCATGACCTACTTCTTAAATTTGATGGCTACACTTTTCTAAAACATTTAATCCCATTATTTTAGACACTGAAAGGTTAGAATCACTAAATCTTGTAAGTTGATGCATCTTTGGGCTTTAGAACATATTTATTAAAAAGTAGGTCACTGTGACCTACGCAGGTAGGTTAAGAATACAACCAAATATTCTATTTGCCTATATGATATGACGTCACAGTAAGCTATATGACGTGAGGTTTAAAGATAACAATTTCCTAAAATCGATATCTCAGATTGATTTGAGGTCGTAAAAATGAATCAAAATATGCAGAGGCATAATACAAACGGAATTTTGTCGTTCCTGGGCCTCAGAAATTATCACAGGGGTTACATACCAAACCCGTGACGACATAACTGTTGATCATGCAGTAGCAGAGTGAAAGTGAAACGTAACGAGAATTGATTTAAACAAACAAGAAATCGGAGTTTAAAAGCATTAAGAATGAATATCATGTGTGATTCTTGTGGGAATAAAGCGTATGAATAAGGTATGGTGAATATAATTTTGCAATTTCTTCGTAAAATTACAGCAGGGAGGGTGTTTACTTGCCGATCAGCCTTTCCTCTGTCGTTCGTAACAAAAAAGATGCAAAAGTTCAACATTACGCCGCATACCGTGAAACATAATTTTTGTTTCTCTCTAAAGTTCTTATTCTTTTGTTTTTGGAAAGAGTGCTGCTAGAATCGTATGGGTTTCGGGTATTGATGCTTTTTTTCAATGTTTTGAATAAAATGTAAAAATGTTGGGAAGGTTTCGTCCGAAAATTTCTATGATAGGACAGTACGATTCTAGCAGCACTTTTCATGGTACAGAGATGTTTTGACATAACTATTATTACAAATTGAAACTAATTATCCCCGGGGTAGTGTTAAACTTTTCACTTTTTCATTAAGGCATATTTCCTAATTATAGACGTTACGTGGTGACGTCGTGGTGAAGTGCCTCCTGTAGTATAAGTCCCATTAAAGTCTATAGAATGCACAATTATAGCAAAAGTTTTATCCTTGGCTTTTCTGATTTATTAGTGTTACATAATTATAAAAAAAGTGTTAATTTGCCGAATTTTGATCCATGTGCTACCTTAACATACCCGCGTACTTTTTCAAATTGTTTAAAAGACATATTTTGAATACTGTTAGACCTATGATCATCAAATTTTGCCAGTTGATGCATCTTGGGTTTTCAAAGCAAGTCGACCAAAAAGTAGGTCATGGTGACCTCTTTTGACATTTCATGGCTAGATTTAAATATCTTGGGTATTAATTGGCTTAGACTTGTCAAACTTTGTCAGTTGATGCACCTTGGGTTTTCGTATATCTCAGGTGATTCGAAACACAAGGGCATGCTCTGCATGTGAAAAATTTCTTAAACGAGGTGGATTGTTGGCAGGCGGATTGGTGGGGCGGGAATATCGGCGGTCTCGTTTAAAGTCATCATTTATATAAAATACATGGTTACTGTCTTGAAATATAAGCGATATTTGGGCGAGGGTAAGAAAACGTGATAGAGGGCGAGGATTGCCGAGCCCTCTTACGTTTTCGAGCCGAACCCAAATATCGCTTATATTTCAAGACAGTAATCATGTATTTTGTTTATCATGCAACATATTCTGTACATTTGAACGTCCAAAACTAGCTATTTTCAACAGGTTTAGGCACATCTCTGCAGTTGAAACTATGACGCCATGGTGTAAAAACATTGCAATATACATGACGTCACAATGCTTTTAGAACATCGGTATACATGTACGAGGCTTTATTAGGGCAGTGACCGGATAAAGCTTTGCTTTATTATGTTACCTTTATTAAGTCAATGCAAGGGGAAGTTGCAGGATAACATAAGTTCTATGGTCGATACAACGACCTTGTCAGCAAATACAATTTATCATTGAGTCAAATGCTGACTGACGTTTTTCATACCAATTGTTAGTCCATTATTTATACACTGAATTGACGACGGATTTTTTCCGTTATTTCCTGATCATGACAACGAGCACTCGGCGGTTGTGACCGGTCGGAGGGGATGCTCACTCAACCATGGCACCTGATCCCACCTCTAATGTTTCAGAGGTCCGTGTTTGCTCTGCTCTGATTTTGTATATTGTTTAATGGACTTTGAGATTGAATACTGTTCGTTATCTCCATATCCTTCTTTTTTCACATAGTAAAACAGTGTAGTCAAGAGAAACATGATTGGACAAAGAGTTTTATTTTATGTTGTTTTTTTCTTTATCAGTCAGAATACTCATCACTCTAGATATTTGATCATTTTCATTTTTCCACTAACTGTGTCTCCAATAAAAAGATTATGATCAGCATCAATACTGAGTCCGCCTTTACATGGATGTTCTATATAACGGATAAAGTTTCCATCAACGTCTATAATGTGGACAATGTTGTTTGAGCTGTCACTTATCAGTATTTGAGTATTGACATCAGTAGCAATGTTAAGTGGGATAAAGTCTCTGTAATTTGTTTGTTTGGAGAGGTTGCCAGGATACTTGAATCGTAATCCTCCAAAAGAATTCACCACCACAACTGCCTTTCCAGCATAGTCAGCCACACAGATGTCACTATTACCATTCTCAGTTAGCAGAAGAACATTTGTAACACCAGTAGAAAACAATGGTTGTCCCAGACTGTCATATTGGATCTTCTGAGACTCCATGGTCCCTGAATATTTCACCACTCTACTTTGTGTATCATCCATAGATCGCATGCTCACCAGTAGATCTCCACTCCTTGTGTAATATAAACCAGTAGGAAACCAGTTAAATGTGCTTAATAAAACATTCATTTTGTTCCTTTTATAGATATATATGTCTGTTTGTTTCTTAGGAATATTACTTAAGGAAAACACTGGTTCAAGTTGTGAATTAATGGCTAATGTCAAAACATTATCATTTACTTGAATTGTTTGTAGAATAGATCCTGTCCTGTTTATTTGTTTGATTGTACCAATGCCACCACTGATCAAGATCTTATCTCTCCCCACACATAGCACTCTCCACAGACAGTGTTTACCTCCATAAGGACTTTGTATGGTACTTAATACCACAGGTTCATCCATCATTTTCAGCATTTCAGTCTTTTTCTGCAGTTCATCCCTAGTCTGAAGAAGACCAAACATTTCTGTGATTTGGTTTCCTTTAATAACACCAGGGAATAACTTTGGACAAGAAAAACTTGGTAATACTGGGCCTTTATGAAAATTCTTAATTCTAGATTGATAGTTTATTATGGCTGTGGCATCATTACTTTTGATGATATCTTTATTCTTTTGAACAAGGTGATTGACTTCTTTTTCAGCCAAGGACTGACTTTCTTTGCTCTTTCTAACAGCTTCTTTCTTTTGATAGGCTAGCTGATCTTTCAGTTGACTTCCGGCTTCATGCACAGCTTTGCAAATTTTTTCCTCTTGATCTTCTATTGATGCTAGAACTTTGTCAAACTCTGTTGTGTCTGTACACAGATTTATGTTTTTGTATTTTGGAACAATTGTACTTTCCAGTTCTTCTGTATCAGATATTATTTGCCGTTTATGTTCTTGTAAAATATCATGGATTTCAGTAAATTCATGTTTTTTGTGCAAACCCATAAGACACTGAATACAGATTTGTATTTGACAGTTTTGGCAATACATTTCACATCGCTTTTTCTCATGTGTAGGGCATGTTGGAAGAACAACAGAGTATTCTTTTCTAGAAGTGTATCCAACAACTTCATGTTCCTTTGATTTGTCTGCCATATGCTTTGGTATGCATGAGAGGCAAAGGTCCACATGACAAAGGTTGCAGTGATGTTCTACAGGGTTTGTACACAACTGGCAGCAAATAATATCCTGTCCCTGGGCGGTAGCCATATCTGTTGTGATGTAGGATAAGAAAAAATAATTTTACCAGGTTAAAGTACACGGAAATGATGCAATCATTGAATTTCATAGAATTTTTAATTGTCATATTGATGCATATGCATACAACTTATTTAGACACTCAGTAATGTTGTACCTCAAGGAAGTCACTTATACAAACTCACAAATTTAAAACATTATTTACAAAGAAATTAAAAAAAATATATTTTCAATGCTGTACATGAAATAGTATTTAAAATTTTCCATTATCAGTTCAGCATTTAAATTAAATCAATATTAAACATTGAAAGACTTGAGAACATACTCACTATTTCCTATCGATTCACTATAAAATTCAACAATCTTTTTACTTTCGTTTTAAGCTAGTGTAATGAATTTTCTGGATCAATATACAGCTTTTTATCCTTGGTTTAACAGGTAGACAGGTGATTTAAATTTTCAAAGCTTTTCAAAACTGGGTCATCGTTACAGCTATATATGTAAAGATATTTGAGTTAGTCAAACATAAATCAGACCTTTAAAAATGGTCTGTTCCCCATGCGCGGATCTAGAGGGGGGTCGGGGGGTCAGCCCCCCCCCCTTGAATTTCCAGGTTATTAATTAAAGAGTTAAAGCCACGAAGTGCCGAAATCGGCCCTGTGATTATGAGTAAAATAAAGTTTCCCTAATTGGAAAATATATCATAGCATGAAAAAGCTAAGACCTTATTTCTTTAAAAAACATTTTTATTTTTCCGCGAAAACTCATGCAGGTAGATACTATAACAAGCTAAACCCGTATCGGTCACCATTTTTTTAGCAAATTCAGCTACCTGTCATCAGTTTAATCACAAAATTCACTATCCCCCCAAGCCTCGATCTAAAAACGATTGAAAGAAAAAAAATAAATAATAAAATGAGGACAAAAAGACAAAAACATTTTTGGATCGAGGCCTGGGGGTTATGTGCATTGTTAACTTACTTCCTCTGCAAAAACCCGGAATTTTTCATTCCATGCATTGCTTTTTTTGGCATGTGTCATCGAAATGCCGATATTAAATTTAAAAAAAAAAATAAAAACGAACACAGGGAATAATTACCCTATTAATAAGTCCTGTTTATTTGAAATTAGTTAAAATTTAAAAAAAAAATAAAAAAAAAAAAAAGAAGATCCGTATTTATCACACATATCGTATGCTGAACATGATTCCAAATATTAAACATTCAATACGTACTCGTCAGCTGCTCGTAATCTTGAAAAATGAAGATGAAGATTATTCAACTTTACACGCAGCACTGTTAAGGCTTACTATAAGAAATCAACGGAAAATAAAAGTGCCAAAAAAGGGGAATTTTTAATATTGAATTTATTTTTATTCAGTAATTCTAATATCACAGAACTTAAATACTTATGGAAATAGCATAGTTTAACGTACTCTGTACTGTGTAGAGTTTGGTCCCATCGATGGACAGTCACGTGATAAACGCATAGCAGGTACACAGAATGTAGGTCAATAACAAATTTCAATATCGCAAGGACATACCCTAATTAAATTTAAAAATTCAAGCTTTTAATTGTTTCTGTGTACTTCGTAGTTTCTGAAAAGAGCTGCTGCTTTGAATAGAATTTGCGTTTTAATACTTAAATGTTTAAGTAAATAGGCCAATGTCGAAATATGTTAGAATTTTACCAAATATTTTGTGTACTTATACAATCACGGCCTCGGTTTAAAGAAAGCAGCAGCACTTTTCAAGTTAAGGAATATATCCTTTATCTATATTTAAAAAATGGTTCAGATCTATGCAGTGTATGGCCTTGCGAAAGTACGATTTTATGGGGCATCTCGATGTAAAATATACGTAACCTGTACATAAATAACGACATAATTAATAAAATACATTCTCTTTGTTGTTAATTAACAATCGCACCAAACAAAGGCTATACCTTGGTATTAATCGACTATTTAAAATCTGTAAATAATATTCCGTTAAAAAATAAAACACATTTTTATTGATAAACAATTTCTCAATTTGCCTCTCACAGCAAAAAATATCGAAGTACGTCATTTTTATCAGTATGACGTCATGTCTACAAGTTCATCGCAATGAGTGCTTAGTTATTAATCAGCTACAGGGGTTTTAACTAGCAACTTTTTTTTAAATGCATTGATAAGTTATAATGTTGTTTATTATGCTAATACTGTTCAGTGTTGGAAATTATTTCATTTACACGTATTATGAGAACTACATAGATGTCATATTTTTGTGTGACGTCATAGTATACTTTTCCCGTATAAATTAGGCCCCGCCCCCTTCTTCAAGCCTTAACAATGCTGCGCAAACCAAGGCAGACTGAAGAAGTATAAACACACACAAGGTAAGTAGTTTTCTTCATCGATTGAAAAAACATAAAAACGTAAACAAATACTCCACTGAAGTTACTGGATCCACCTATAGTCTTTTTATATACTAGCACGACACCGGTGTGACCTCCCTTCGTTTCAAACATGTAGTCTAAACAACAATTTCTTTGATTGATCCAAATATACTGTACATATCTAATAATTTAAAAAGCATCTTGAGTGAATGTCTTGCACAAATACTTTCCTGCTTTAGTTTGTTTTTATCTCGATACACACGAAACGTCTGTTGGGGTAAGGGGCACCTCTGGACAATGGGGGAAAACTCGGACAAGATTTAAATACAGAGGAGTAAATAAAATATATCTTGACCTTCGCTTAATTTAATTTTATACATTTATTGAATCTGAGCCTCTTATTTTTGATCAGTTGGACTGTACATAGCCGACATCGTTTATGACAGAATCAAGATTGTTTACGTTTCCTTGTCAACGGGCACTTGGTCAACCGGTGACTAGAGATTTCGATCCATGGATATTCCGGTTCATCAAATTTTATCATCCAATTTAAACCCTAGCGGAATACAATCAAAGAATGGATGTGAATAAAGAATTAATAAATTCTAAATAAATCAATAATATTTGTAAATAGAAAAATGTTAAATAAATCGCTGTACAGATGTGTTCCAAAAGTGAAGATACACTTTTATATATTTCACTGAAAACCAGTTTGTAAACTGAATTGTAAATTATTTTATCCGAAATTTCTTGATAATCCATGAAAGTGAAGTTGAAGTTGAAGTTGATGAAAGCAATAGTTTTTGTCTGATCAGCATTGATAATTATTTTTTTTGTATTTTGAGCCTGACATGAATTTTTAAGTCACATTTCCACAATGAATTTTATAGTCAACATTGATCTTGAATTCTCGAACTGATTTTAAGTGATATGACCTTTTTATTTTTACAGCAAATTAAGTATACATGTATAATAATTCTTAAAGAAAGATAACGGCAAATTTTCAGATTTAATTATGGAAATAAATAATTAAATTAGACAAAAATTGACCATTTGCCTGTGATTTTACGAAATGTTATTTTGAATGAAATATAAAAAGAAAAAAATAATAAAATTATCTTCATGCACTTTTGCCACACAATTGTATCTTAAATGGGGAAATAAATGCAGGAATAAAAAGATCAATAGGGAACTTGAAGATAAATAAATGAAAGAACATTACATGTACGCCCTTAAAATACGCATTTAAAACAATCTTTAAAAAAAAAAAAAAAAAAAAAACCAATATATATAATTTCACCTTTGTCATCGTTATACATGCAATAAAAAATATTTTTGTCAAGATATATATTTATTAATATTCTTTCGATCATTGACAAAAATAAACTAAACTATACAAAAATATATAGTTGTAAGAAGGATATGGAAATATTCGAACAGTACTCAATCTCAACGTCCATTAAACAAATATACAAAATAAGAGCAGAGCAAACACGGACCTCCGAAACATCAGAGGTGGGATCAGGTGCCATGGAGGAGTGAGCATCCCCTGCCGACCGGTCACACCCGCCGTGTGCTCGGTGTCATAATCAGGATATAACGGAAAAATCCGTGGTCAATTCAGTGTATAAATAATGGACTAACAATTGGTATGAAAAACGTCAGATATTCATAAATAAAAGAAGTGTATATTTATATAAAATCTGTTTATTCTAAGTTTTCTGGGCTGATTTCTTTTAAAATGTTCAAGTCGAATGAAATTGAAAAGAAATGAAGTCTTAAAAAATTAAAATGAATTTTTGAATAATTGAAAAAGTGAGCATTTCATTGTTACTTACATGCCTTTTTTTACAGAATGGAGCTAGTTGACGACAGAAAGAGATTCCCATGTGTTTTATGTAAGAAAAGAACTAAGCCAAATGACAGGAGGAAATGTGAAAGCATTGAAATAAGAAAATTTCTGAGGAAAACTTTCATGGTGGATGCTAGACCAGTGGATGTGTTATGTAATAAATGCAGACACTACTACTACAAAAACAAAAAAGTAAAACAAAAACCTCCTATTCATGCAAAAACTGATAATGAACCTCAAGGAAACTCATCATGTCTTAGTCCACCATCTGTTACCCTGCCTCTTCAAAGGACTGTTTCTTCCCATGCCTACTGCTTTATATGCAAGCGACCAGGACCGAAGCTCATCGTTGTGCCAGTATCAGCAAGACTCTCTGCATTCATTCACAAAGAAGTGATTATTCCTTCGGGTAGCAGGTGTTGTCCCTCACACATTGCAAATGATGATTTCATCGCAGGAGCACTGGATAACTTACAGACAATAGAAACATCATTTTTGAACAGAAGTACCATCGTAGACCTCATCACCAGGATAAGGAATTATGCAATTCAGAATTGTACATCCAAATTCACGTTTAATCCTTCATACCTTAACAACCTGGATTACATCACTCTTACTGGAATACCTAAAGACCAGTTTGCAGATCTGCATCAGGAGATAAAATCAGAAATTAGAAATACACCCAGTAGAACATCAACAATGTCTCTAGGAATTTTTCTACTGAAAATGCGATCTGGAATGTCAAACCAGTTGATGTCAACCATATTTGGCATTTCAAAGTCAT